ACTGTTCCGATTAACACTAACTTGACCGTCAAAGTGTATGTAGCAGCCATCATCCCCGCTGGTTCTGGTCGTGTACTTCTGACTTTGGGTTGTTGTGCACAGGGAGGATTACGTGGAGTGGCTATCGGTTGGTCACATGGAAGGTCCAATTCCCTAAATGAACCACTTCGGAACATTCGACACACCACTCCTTGAAGTGCCACGTGTTTACCTGAGGTGTTTTCGAAGTGCCCCCTGATGTCGAAGCGTTAGGTGACCACTGTTACGTGCCTAATTGAACCACTTCGAAACATCCGACACACCACTCCCGAAGTGCCATGTGTTCACCCGAGGTATTTTCGAAGTGCCCCTCGACGTCGAAGTGTTAGGCACTCCGAGGTGCTCCTTTAACAGATCCCTCGACCGCCATTTTCAGGAAGATATCTGTGTCAAGATCCTCTCTGTCTCCAAGGATTAATTGATGTGACGTCTCCATAGGTCTAGTTGATGTGACATATCAACTTTATGTCACAGAACTTAGAAGAATTAATTACCCGCCACTCTAGACGCGACTGATTGACACCTATGAGCAGACGTCTTACACCGTCAGATGTATACACATGTTCCACATGCAACGGTGCTCCACGTCTATAAATACCCAAGGCTTGGCAAGGGGAAAAGATAATGAAACTCTCACAACTTAGCTCTCCATACTAAGAAATATATATTCTCCTCCCCACTCTCGCATAACTTGAGCACTGTTCCGGTCACACCAAACACTAACTTGACTGTCAGAGTGTATGCAGTCGCCACCATCCCCATTGGTTTCGACTGTGTACTTCTGATCGTGTGTTGTTGTACGCGGAGGGGATTACGTGGAGTGGTTATCGGTTGGCCACGTGGAGAGTCCAATTCGCGAGGTCAATAGATTGGCGCCGTCTGTGGAAAAATTTCGTCCAAAAGTTTCACATTTTCCTCCGAAAAAGCCACTGAACAACCATCGACTTACTCCGAAAAGGGCATGCTCTTGAAAAAGAACAAAGTCAACCTACAATCTAAGTTCTTAACACCCTTGAAAAAAGAATGGGCAAGATAAGTCCTAGTAATGAGGATGCAAATCCTGGGCTTAGAGACGCTTCCGAAGAAGAGGTGCTCCGAAACAATGTCACTTACCAGAGACCTCATCACCATCGTCGCCAAGGTGAAAGGACAGCCATGCTCACTGCAGGAATGACCCAAATAGCTGCAGGCATGAGAGATATTGCAGCTCAGAATGTGGCGATGCTTGAATTTTTATGTAGGACCAAGGTCATCAAGGTTTCTAGATGCCCCAAAGATCTTACTCAGCTCAGGAAATTTTGGCATCTCATGGCCGAGGCCATTCGAGCCAGTGCAGGGAACACCCACTCGAAGGAGGTAGGTGTAGATGTCACATCCTATGCACAGGGGAGCCAACCAGCAGAATCATAGCTAGGAGAGAACTTCCCACCAGAATACAAACCAGAAAGGTCTGTCAGTGTCTTCGACGAAATAGGGTGGAACCCTAGCGATAGGGTCTGCTCTGTGCAAAGATTAATTCGGTAAGAGCAAGAAGAACAAGCACCTGCTCCACCTAGAAATAGGCGGGAGAGAAGGAACTTAGTCGATTGGGGTAGTTAAGGGAGAGCACCTCCACCTCTCCAGAACGTGCAAGATGCTGAAAGCTTCGAAGGGTCGTGTCGATTTATGAAATTGATGATGATGATGACAACCTCTCTTTCTCAAGGAAGATCCGGAGCTTCCTAATGCCTCAAAATTTCACACCCCATAAAATCCCTAAGTATGAGGGAAAGGGCCTGAAAAAGTACCTCACCAAGTACATGACACGGATGAGCCTCAAGGAAGCCTCACCCACGTTGAAATGCAGAACCTTCCATGTAACCCTCGTCGGAGCTGTCGAAGTATGGTACAGCAGACTGCCTCCCCTGAGCATTAGGAATTGGCCAGATTTGAAGAAGGTATTTTTCAACCAGTACCTCTCACGAAGAAAATGAAAGGCCCCAGTGCAACGCCTGCAAGATATGAGACAGGCCCTTGGAGAGACCCTGAAAAGCTACCTTGCCCAATTTACTAACAAAATCACATACTGCGAGCAAGTCACTAACAAATAGGCCCTTTCAGCCTTGAAATATGGCCTCAACATGAGCACTTTGTTCTGGAGGGATGTATGTAACAAGAATCCCACAACTTATGAAGAACTAGTAGAAATGATGAGAGTGGAGACCGTCAATGAAAAGATGATTGACCACCGAAATCGTGCAGCGCAGGGACTCCCTCCGCCTCAGAGGCAGGAAGGTCGAGGATCAACAGCGCACCTCAACACTCAACAATAGACCCAAGCAGGACATACAATAGCTTCCACATCCGAACAAACATTAACTTCTGCCATGCTAAATGTAGTGCCGATATTGGTGTACGAGAATATCCCTACCGAGGCGGGACCATCTGAAGGCACAAACAGCAATCGAAAGAAGAAGAAAAAGCGATCAAACAGACCCCTAGAAGGGGCAAGGTTCTGTACCTTTCACCAACTTTACGGACATGACACCAACGAATGTAGGGATGCTCCTCGATCCTCGAACTGAAGCAACCCACGCCCCTCAAGAAGGGGTGAATATCCCCGTAGATCCATCTCCCCGAATAGGGGAAAAAGACGATATAGAGACCAGTCACTCGGAGGAGAGAATCTAGGGACATGATTAATACAATCATTGGAGGACCTCACATTGGGGGCAACACTTGGAATACCTAGAGGAACTACACAAGGGAAGCAAAGGATCTACCAATTATTACTTGCATTGTCAATAAAACCCAAGAGGCCAACAGGATGACCCCAATCACTTTTTCTCAAGAAGATGTAGAAAGAGTTCATCATTCCATCGTGATGCGCCAGTGGTAAGGCCGTAGTAGCTCGATTGTCCACTCAAGCACATGCTTGTCGACAATGGAAGTTTGGTGAATGTACTGCTTGGATCCACATTTGACAAAATGCAGATAGAACATGGGTTGATCCCCATGACCGACCCGCTATTTGGATTCACCGACGACATCATCGTCCCACGAGGGTGAAATACCCTACCTGTTAAGATAGGGTCAGCCCCTAGTGGCCCACCACTTCATGGAGTTCCTGATGGTAGACCACAGATCAGCTTACCACGAAATATTGGGCCGACCCGCCTTGAAAGATCTTTGGGCAGTCACCTCTATCAATTACTTGTGTAAGAAGTTCCCAGCTGAGCATGAGATTGCTACAATTCGAGGCGACCAGATGAGCTCAAGAGCATGTTACCTCAACTCTCTGTGGAAATTCGAGCCCCGCACAGTTAATGTCATTATAATAGAGGTTGCCAATGAAGTTAACATGGACATAGAAATGTTTGACGCCCTTGAAGAAGGGCATACCTCCGAAGAGGAGGAAGACATCAATATGGTAGAGGCCCCTGAAGAAGGGTACCCTCTAGATGAGTTGGATCCTTGAATTATCGAGTCTGAACCAAATACGACCCCAATGGAAGAATTAGAAACTTTCTCTACCAACCCTGAGGACTTCATTCAGCTCTTATGGATTGGAAAAGCACTACCCCCGAGGTAAAGGAAGAAATGATGAACTTTCTGAAAAGGAACCTGGACGTCTTCGCATGGAAGCACGAAGACATGGTGGGAATAGACCCGAGGATCAGTTGCCACTACCTTAATATCAACTCCTCATGTGTCCCACACCGACAGAAAAGACAGGCCCCCAACTCAAAGCAATATGAGGCGCTCAAAGAAGAAGTCGACAAACTCAGCCGCAGCGACTTCATTAGAGAAGCCATCTATCCGAAGTGGATTTTCAACCCGGTCCTCGTGAAGAAATCCAGCTGAAAATGGAGGGTGTACATAGACTTCACAAATTTGAACAAGGCATGCCCTAAGGATAGCTTTCCTCTCCCAAGGATAGACCAGTTTTCGGACTCCACTGCTGGACACGAACTCTTGAGCTTCATGGATGCATATTCATGGTGCAACCAGATACCCATGTTCTGACCTGATCGTTCATCATAGACAGAGGACTGTATTCTTATAAGGTGATGCCCTTCGAATTGAAAAATGTCGGAGCCATATATAAGAGACTGGTTAACATGATATTTGTCGAACTCATTGGCAAAACCATGGAAGTCTACGTGGATGACATGCTAGTTAAAAGCCACTAGGCGAAGGAACACACAAGTCACCTCGACCAGACCTTTCAGATTCTTAGAAAGTATAAAATGAAATCGAACCCTCTCAAGGGTACCTTCATAGTAGCTTCGTGTCAATTTCTAGGATATATTGTGAACCAAAGAAGGATTGAGGCGAATTCAAAAAAGATAAGGGCCTTACTGGAAATGAGGTCACCTCAGAAACCAAAGGAGGTCCAAAGCCTCAATGGTCGAATAGCCGCATTCAGTCGCTTAATCTCCAGGGCCGTGATAAGAGCCTGCCCTTCTTCAAAGTTTTGAAGCAAGGAAAGAAGTTCCAATGGATAGATGAGTGCGATGAAGCCTTCCAAGCGCTGAAAAAATACTTAGGAGAGGCGCCCCTACTATCCAAACGTAAACCACGAGAACCACTACTGCTGTACTTAGCGATCTCGGATGAGTCTGTCAGCGTAGTCCTTGTTAGAGAGGAAAACACGCATCAATTACTAGTGTACTACATTAGCAAAGCTCTACTCCCAATAGATACACGCTACCCAGATATGGAGAAACTTGCACTCTTCCTTGTCACAGTGTCAAGAAAATTGAGGCGGCACTTTCAAGCCCATTCAAAGCCCATTCAATTGAAGTTCTTACCAACTTCCCATTAAGACAAGTCTTACAGAGAACAGACACTTCGGGTCATTTGCTAAAATGGGCAATCGAGTTTAGCAAGTTCGACCTACTGTTCCGACCCTGAAATACCATCAAGGGCCAGCAGATTTTGTGGCTGAGTTTCCCAAAGCCCCAGAAATAGAGGCGACAATGGAACCAGCCGAACCCCCAACATGGAACCTATTTGTGGATGGATCGTCAGGAGTGATCGGCTCTGGAGTAGGAGTCGTTTTGGAAAGCCCAAAAGGTCATAAGCTAAACTGAACAGTCAGGTTAGGCTTCAAAACCTCGAACAACGCTGTGAAATATGAGGCCCTCCTATCAGGCCTTAGACTAGCGAAAGAAATGCAAGTCAAAAGGCTCATAGCAAACAGCGACTCGTAGCTTGTAATAAGTCAGGTCAACAGAAAAGTTTACAGCTAAAGACATTGGCATGGCTGCGTATCTGAAATTGGTTCTTAACCTGGTCCCTCACTTTGAGAGATTCGAACTGATTCAAGTCTCACGCATCAAGAATACACACGCAGATGCCCTGTCCAAGTTGGTCAGCATAGAGATTCAGAGCTGCTGAAAATTGTCCCAATTGAGCACCTACCGAAGCCCTCTAACTCTAGAGGTGAAGAAGTACTATGGATCGAAGGCACCCCACTTTGGATGCAACCCGTCGTAGCCTATCTCAAAGATCAATCACTGACAGCCGTGAAAAGTGAGGCAAAGAAATTGAGAAGGAGGGCTGCTTACTTTGTTCTCGAAGATGATGTGCTCTACAAAAGGGGCTTCGCCTCGTCACTTCTCCGATGCGTGGGAGGGGAAGAAGCCATGTATATACTCAGGGAAATCCATGAGGGAGTCTACGGTAACCACTCCGGAGGAACGGCTCTAGCACACAAAGTGTTTCGACAAGGCTACTTCTGGCTGACCCTGAAAAGGGACTCTTACCAGTTTGTTCAAAAATGTGACAAGTGCCAGGGCTTCTTAAACATTCAAATGTAGCCTTCTGAAAACCTTTCCGTGGTCACCAGCTCGTGGCCATTCACTAAGTACGGCATCGACTTCATTGGCCTGTTCCTAAAAGAAAAAGGAAGCGCAACTTTTGCCATTGTTACCATTAACTACTTCACCAAGTGGGTTGAGGCTGAACCTCTGGCCAAGATCACCGAGGCGAATACTACAAAATTTGTCTGGAAAAATATCATTTGTAGGTTTGGCATTCTCCACTCTTTAGTGTTTGACAACGGGAGACAGGTTGACAACAAGAAGATGTAAGATTTATTTGACGAGCAGGGGATAAGGAAGGATTCTCAATGCCTCATTATCCCCAAGCAAATGGACAAGTTGAGGCAGTAAACAAGACTATCAAGCATACCCTAAAAAGGAAGTTTGACGCCCTGAAAGGGGCATGGGTTGATGAGCTTTACCACGTCATCTGGGCCATTCGAACAACTAGCCGAACTGCAAAAGGAGAAACACCCTTCTCCATGACCTACAAGGCCGAAGCCATGAGTCTGATCGAGGTGAGAATCCCCTCTTATCGTCGGATACATTTCAATGATATCAGCAATGACGAAACTTGAGTCTACAAACTCTACCTCCTTGAAGAAATGAGGGATTCCTCCCAAATAAAATTGGCCAAGTATCAAAGAAAGATGACCCGTTATTACAACTCTAAGGTTAGAAACTGAACTCTTTGCTTGGGAGACTTGGTCTTCAGAAGGGTCTTCCAATCATCGAAGCCAACTGGGTCCGGAGTGTTTAGACCGAACTGGGAAGGTCCTTATCGCATTCACAAGGAGTCCCGACCCGGTACATATGAAATCGAAGACATGGCAGAGAAAGTGCTGCCTCATCAATGGAATGTTGAACACTTGAAAAAGTACAATCACTGATAAGTATATGTTTTGATCCGATCTCTATTTTGTCCACAGTCCATTGTAACATTCCTATCTTATACATGGGTTAATCAATTGGTACCTCAATTCTTCAGTATTTTATGTGGGGTAATTCTTCTGCCATCGATTGATTATTGTTGGTAAGTGATGTTTAATATTTACTTAAGTGTTATTTACTCATCAAGATACAAACAGTTCAACATAAAAGTAAAGGGGGGAAGCAACAACACTTGGAAAATTTTTAATTCATTAACATCAAAGTAAATTACAAAAGGTGGGCCGAAGCCATTACAAAATATTCCTATTCTACTCTAGGGACATCTTCAGCTCCGGCCTAAAGCTTGACCTTTTGGGGGGTTTCAGTAGCTTCTTCGGCGTCCCTGTCAGGTCGACCTCCGATAGGCCCATCGAACTCCGCTTCCATGGAAGTTAGATCCAAAGTTGGGTGGACCTTCCTTAGGTGATCCAACATTGCTTGGGCATTCCACAAGGCTCAAAAGTTGGCAAAGTCGTCGTACAGTGGGTGTTCTTCGAAGTGATCGATGAAGTTTTGCACTGCTGACTCCCCTACCGCCTTTACCTCGACCTTCAAAGACTAGATCTCCTCAGTCTGGGCCTCTATCCATTGCCTCAACTCAGCATTCTCTTTGGTGGAGGCCTTCAGAGCCTCAGTGATGAGCCGATGGTGCTCGTTGGCACGATCAACTCTCATTATGATAGCAGCCACCTGGCACTCTACTTCATAGAGCTCATTCTTCAGCCTTTCTATCTCCTCATTGGCCCTCACCAGCTGCCCTCCGCCTCTTCCCTCACCTTCTTCGCCTCCGAGGCCTTTGCTTAGGCAGCTCGCACTGCATCCCCATAAAGCAACGCCTCCTCCAGGTGCTTATCTAGGTCCTCCCTCTTAGCATTGAGGTCCTTCACCAAACCTTCAAGTTGGACGCTTGTACTAAGGGCCCGAGCGATGCATGTACTGTTGGCCGTAACAAGGCTTTTTGCAGTGCAGGATGCGGTGTGGTCCCTCCACTCTTCGGTCCAGTATTTGTGGTGGACCACCGCTACTGCAGCTGTCTCCAAAGGCAGGGCTTCCAGCACCTCCTTCATGGGCTCGTCAATGTTGACGCCCAGAAAATCTGTCTCCTTTGCAGGGTGAGCCCTTTTCCTCCTTTGTAATCCCAGCACTTGAGAAATTGGTACCGCAGAAAATGGGACTTCAGTCAGGGCAACAGCATCAACTGGGAAGCCTCGGAAGGAGAAACAGTCTTCTCTTGGATGGCCATCCCAGTAGGAATCGTGGTCTACCTCAGAGCCGAGGGGACCTAGCCACAGTTGGCCCCTTTGAGGAGCCATCAGTCTTTTTACCTTTCCTCAGCAAGTTTGCCTCAGAGTCTTCTGCTTCCTCCTCCTCTGCCGATGGCTGAAGCCTCTTACTTACAAACACCAGCTCCTCGGTCTACTTCTTATAAGCAGAGGAGGAGGTCTTCAAGGCCCTTGCCTCGACCATCATCTTTTGGATGGTCTTAAAATCAGGCCTCAAGGGCCTCTTCTTGTTGAAATCATCTGTAGAGAAACGAGAAAATTAGTACAAGTATACTGAGTTCGGAGACCAACTACAATACAGCCACTTCAGATACTCACCTTGAGAAGTCATTAGATCGTGCGTAACGAAGTGTCTGTTCTTCTTAATCAGCTTGTGATAAGATCTCATCTTCGGTGGGAGCTGATAAACGATGCAAATTATATCAAATTCCTCGGTGGATATCTCACACCAAGGAAGAGTGCCTGCAAACAACAAACAAATGTCAAGGACCGAATAGAAGCTCAAAACAAATTTAAACACAAGGCATCAGCACTTACTAAGTGATGAATACTTAGTTGGGACTGTGAGAGACGTCAAGGGGTCTCCTTCTATTGTGTCCCAACTTTCGGACACCCAGCACGACGTATTCTAGTCCTTTATTGAGCTCGACAGGTCTAGGTAAAATGGAGTATGGGCCTCCCAAAAGGTTAAGTAATACCACCCCTTAATCTTATCCCTCCCGACCACCACTTTAGGGATGTACAGGGTCTAGAAGACCGAAAAGGACATCTCCACCCTAAGAGACGCCTCCTTTCACAACATCTAGGAGCCCATCATCTGGCTCCAGGAGTTCAGGTTTAATTGGGTCGGAGCTAACCCATATGACCTGAGGATGTACAAGAAGAAAGGATGAATAGGCAGCTTAAGTCCAGCCCTGAAAAATGCCTTGCTCACAGCGACACTGTAACGTTCCAATTTTCTATAAACACTGGAACGTTACGAAAAACTCATTTTTCTTTATTTTAAGTGCGAAACTATAAAAATAAAATTCTTTATTAAACAAATAACTACAACATATAATAATCTAAATTTAAAACATAAAAGTTGTATCTAAATATAACATAAACTCCTGGCTAATTTAAATAACACGTTTGGAACAAAATTAAACTAATTGGTAAATATAAAGACGACAAAATTATTTCTTTTTCTTTTCATTTGATCTACTTGGCAGCCTGCATCACCATTCCACTCTGTTCCAATCGACCCGAAATAAGCTGTAAAAATTTGTAAAAGTGGGTATTCAAAAACACCCAGTAAGATACGTGCATTTTCCATATACAGATATATAACAATAAAAATTACAATTCATACCATCTGATCTTATGGAGTATATCGGTGATCAAGCGACACACCCATCTTAGGTCCTCTTATAATCCCGTATGATTTCATATCTCTTTAAAAAAAAGAATGTCTACTAGCAATCCATGCATTTTTTATTGAACATAAATGCATAAGGAAACAAAAACACGTGCACCTAAAGTATCTTACCTCGTTTATTTAAGAGTTGCAAAATAGTTTCTTGTCTTCTAGTTCTCAAAAGTACCCTCCCTCTCTCTCTCTCTCTCTCTCTCTCTCTCTCTCTCTTACGTGTGTATAACTTTTGGTGTGTGAATTATGGAATCCAAGAATGGTATTTATAGTAATAAAAATAGGTTGAGTTATACTAGAAAACATGTACCATATTGGATAAAACCTAGTTTTGAATTATTTTTTAATAACAATTTATAGCTATCCAAATAGGATGCTAGCTATCACATCAAATTCAAAATAGATTAATATTAATCTAAAAATTAAAATTCAATTCCCACTTTACACGTTTTTGGAGGGAAAAAATGAATTGATTTATAAATAGGATAAAATTCTATTTATCCTATTTTCTTTCAATTGGGTCTAACTTAGTGTGTTCTTATCCCAAATAACTTTTTCTCGAGTCAAAGACTTCTAATTAATTACGAGCTATCCAACGAGTACAATATTGATATACTTATAATTGCTCTATCAAAATCTAATTTGTTTGACTCAGATAAAATATGAATTTATATAATATACAAAATAAATAAATTTTTATCTATAAATTTTTTTTATCTATAAATTTTTTTTTGGGGTTAAAACAATCTACCATTCTTAAGAGAATTTCGTCCTCGAAATTAACCTGTGTTAGAATCTTCCATGGCATGTCCTTGTGCTAAAGTAAAAACTCTGACATTTCCTTTCCTTTCTGGCTCGTCATTCTTCTTCAAAAGGTTCTCTTTGTAGTTTTTGGAAATATGGCCGGTTTTACTACATCTATAGCACACATGCTTCCCATACAGACATTCATCCCTATGCATTTTCTTGCACTTTGGACCAGGTGGAACGACTTGTCCAAAACCTGGTCCAAAGTTAGCCTTCTTGTTCGGTTCTTCTCCTTTCTCTTCGTTAGACCCATTCCATTTCCTCTTTCCTGAAGACTCGGCCCCTTGCTGGGGAGTTTGGTCAATTTCCAACATATTTGAGATTGCTTGGGCAGTCTGTAATACTCGGCTATAGGTGATGAATTGGTGGGATGCTAGTATTCCACCAATCTCAGGACGCAATCACAGTTCGAACCTCCTTGCTTTCTTTGCTTCAGTGTCCACTAGGTATGGTGCATACCTTGATAGTTGTTCGAATTTTCTCTCATAATCATCAAGCTTCATTTTTCCTTGTTTAAGTTGAAGGAATTCTATCTCCTTTTGATCTATCAGAGCTTGGGGAAAGTATTTTCCCATCACTTCATCCTTAAATTGTGTCCACGTCAGAGCACGTTGTTGTGCCTTTGTTCTAGTGCGAGATGCTGACTCCCACCAGTGGCCTGCAGTGTCAACCAACATGAATTTTGCACATAACACCTTTTGAGCATCCGTACAAGATAGATGTTTGAAGATTCGCTCCATTCCTCTTATCCATTCTTCAGCTACTAGTGGCTCTGCCTTGCCATCGAAGGTTGGGGGTTTGTAGCGACGAAACTGTTCCACAATTGAGCTGATGTTGTTAGCGTTTGCATTGATGTGTATTTTCAACCATAAATATCAATTTAAAATAAACAAACGAGTCTTTGAACAAATAAAACTAAGAAACAAATAAAACTAACAAATAATTTAGAGATATAAAAAAATAACAAATTAAATGTTAAATTTCTTTTTCCTTTCTTCGATTCACTTGGCAGTCCGCATCACCTTCCCGTCAGAATATAAAATACTGTAACGCCCCAAATTTTATAAACGCTGGGGTGTTACGAAAAACTCAATTTCCTTTATAATAATTGCGGAACGATTTTTCAATAAAGAAAATTCTTTATTTTCAA